GGCCCCTTCTACCGTGCCGAGAAGGTCTTCCTGGTCAACGACACCCTTCCCCGAGGATCTGGCACTGTTCTCAGCTATGACACGATCCTGTGGTGGATGGAGGTTGAGAAGAGCGTCCTGAGCCTCAAGGGCCCCAACTACGGTGCCACGCTGACGGACGTCTGTTTCAAGCCCGACGGCAGCAACTGTGTCGTCCAGTCTGTGTCGGCCTACTTCAGCAACGAGCCCTCTCTTGTCGACAAGCGCCACTGGCAGGAGGATCTTCGGGCCTGCGCCAAGTCTCCCGTCGAGTGCCGGCCGGAGTACGGACAACCGCTCGAGCCCAACGCGATTCTTGGCGATTGGGGCAGTGATCCCGTCAACGCTACCGCCATGACAGTGAACTGGGTCGTGAAGAATGCCGAAGAGAACAGCCCCGAGGTGGAACGCGCCATGGACTGGGAGCGTGCTCTTCGCGACCGCCTGCTTGAGGTCCAGAAAGAGGCCGAGGAGCGTGGTCTGAGGCTCTCCTTCAGCACCGAGATCAGTCTGGAACAGGAACTCAACAAGTCGACCAACACGGACGCCAAGATTGTCGTCATCAGCTACCTCGTCATGTTCCTCTACGCCTCTTTTGCGCTTGGCTCCACGACCTTGTCGATTCGTGAAATGGTCCGGAACCCCGCCATTGCCTTCGTTCAGTCCAAGTTTACACTTGGCGTCGTTGGCATTCTTATTGTGCTCATGTCCATCTCTGCCTCGATCGGCCTGTTCTCGTGGGCTGGCCTCAAGGCTACCCTCATCATCGCCGAGGTGATCCCATTCATCGTCCTTGCGGTTGGTGTCGACAACATCTTCCTCATCGTTCACGAATTTGAGCGAGTCAATGTCAGCCACCCCGACAGCATGGTCGAGGAGAGGGTTGCCAAAGCGCTCGGCCGCATGGGTCCTTCGATTCTCCTCTCGGCTCTCACCGAGACGGTGTCCTTCGCCCTCGGCGCCTTTGTTGGTATGCCGGCTGTCCGCAACTTTGCGGCGTACGCAGCGGGTGCGGTCTTCATCAACGCCATTCTCCAGATCACCATGTTCGTCTCCGTCTTGGCGCTCAACCAGATGCGCGTCGAGGATCACCGAGCCGACTGCTTCCCCTGCATTCAGGTCAAGGCCGCCCGGGTTCATCTTGCTGGCGGCAACGGCAATGCGAACGCTCGTTACTATGAGGTTCCCGAGGAGAGCTGGCTGCAGCAATTTATCCGTAGGACCTACGCACCCTTCATACTCGGAAAGAAGGTCAAGACAGTCATCATCGCGGTCTTCCTCGGCTTCTTCGCTGCGGGCATCGCTCTCATCCCTGAAGTCAAGCTCGGCCTCGACCAGCGCGTGGCACTGCCCGATGATTCGTACCTCATTCCCTTCTTCAATGACTTGTACAACTACCTTGACACCGGCCCACCCGTCTACTTTGTCACGCGCGAGCTCAACGTCACGGAGAGGCAGCACCAGCAGGAAATTTGCGCGCGCTTCACCACATGCGAGCAAACGTCCCTGGCCAATCTCCTCGAGGGCGAAGGCGCAAGCGTCCCGACGTTTCGTTCATCCGGACGCCCGCCGCCAGCTGGGTGGACGACTCTTCTCTGGCTCAACCCTGACCTGGGCGATCAGTGCTGTGTCGAGAACGGCAAGGCATGCTTCGCGGACCGTGATCCTGAGTGGGACATCACCCTCACGGCATGCCTGAGGGCGACGAATTTGTGTATTACTTGGAGAAGTTTTTGACTTCGCCGACGAACGCCGACTGTCCCCTTGGAGGCCAGGCTGCCTACAGCGATGCCGTCGTCATCGACAAGAAGAGGGAGACCATTGCGGCCAGCACTTCCGAGCCATGCACACGCCTCTACGCAGCCAGGATGATTTTATCCACGCCATGTCCGCGGCTCGTCGCATTGCATCCGAAATCAAGAAGGAGACTGATGTTGAGGTCTTCCCTTACAGTCTTTTCTACATCTTCTTCGACCAGTACGCAACGATTGTCTCGTTGGCCGGCAAGCTTCTCGGATCAGCCGTGGCCATCATCTTCGTCATCACCACGATCCTGCTCGGTTCGCCTCTGACTGCGCTTGTCGTGACAATCACCGTCTGCATGACGGTTGTCGACATTATCGGTGCCATGGCCGTCTTCGACGTCTCGCTCAACGCCGTCTCTCTCGTCAACCTCATCATTTGCGTTGGTATCGGTGTCGAGTTCTGCGCCCATATTGCCCGCGCCTTTATGTTCCCCTCGCGTACCGTCATGGAGCGTGCCAAGAACCGCTTCCGCGGCCGCGACGCCCGCGCCTGGACCGCTCTCGTCAACGTCGGTGCCTCCGTCTTCTCGGGCATCACGGTCACCAAGCTCCTCGGCGTCTGTGTCCTCGCATTCACGCGTTCCAAGATTTTCGAGATTTACTACTTCCGCGTCTGGCTTGCGCTCGTCATCTTCGCGGCGACGCATGCGCTCATCTTCCTGCCCGTGGCGCTCAGTCTCTTGGGCGGAGCGGGCTACGTTGATCCCGAGAGCGAGGGCGGCCTGGAGCAGGATCTCGCCAGCCGGCGCTACAGGGCGCTCGTGCCTGACGGAGAGTCGGACTCTGAAGACGACTACTAGAAGCAGGTGGACTCGGGTGTCTGTGACGTCGCCGTCGACGTCAACTCTTGATGAAGCAGCAGGCCTAATCATGAACTAGAGATATCCACCATTTGAAGTTGGCAGATCTAGAAGCACACATCCATGAGGGGCAGTTGGCCGATCATCGGAGGGGATACAGCGCGATGACGAATATTTGGTAGTACTTGGGATGGGGACAGGCGTTGACGGGGTGCTTTGGGGTTCTCTTTCTTGCGGTGTAATCAGCGCATCTCTTAGCGGGGTAGTGTTACTTGCTGTACAATATAAGACGGCGAATGCATTGATTTCTTTGATTTCTGTGAAGCAAGGCGAGATTGTCAATTCGTCTCTCCAACGTCGCGGTAATTTGTCATTGCCTTTCTCTACAAACGGCATCGTAAGGAATACTACATAGCCCACTCCCTGAGGGCAGTTGAAGCAAGACAAGTAAAGGCCACTTCCCGAAGGAGATATCACCCCAACAGGGCTACTGTGAGGTATCCCGAGAACCAGCAAATCGTGGGCTCACTGCCGGCTTGAGACTAGCTAGAAAGGCTAGACAGATTGTCCAAACAGGCATTCAAGACCAACGACATGCGCAGGCGTATACATTGCAGCAGATCTAATGACTTTTCCCTCAATTGGGCTGACCTGTGGTGTTCCGGGCAAGGTCCCATTGCCAAAGCCGGCTGCTTTGATAGGTGGGGTGAAGAAGGGTGCTATGCTTGTGAGATGTAACATCTCAGATGAGTGAAGTCATATCCCGCACTTGGTTTGCGTTGGGTACCGCGACAGGTTCTCGCCTGATCGTTGAAAGGTGTGCAAGGATCGTGGTGATCATGCCTCACCGCCATATGGTTTCAGAAATCTCACGACTACCAGCGCGTTCGTCGGCACAGCTCACTGGATGACAACGACACACATTTCGATCACTGCCTCTCTCGCTCGGCATAGTGAGGTGCCTGATGTGCTGGCGAGCCGCTACCTTTGGGGGTACCTAGGTACCTACCTACTGCACCTACCAAGGTACCTGTGGCGGCGCTGGGAGTCACGCCAGGGTCCCGCAGGAGTGGAGCTATAGCAGATTGCCTCGGGGTCGAATGATTGGTGGCTAAGGCCCGAGCGCAGGCCAGAGCTCCCCCCTTTCGCGCAGCCAACCAGGGAGCCTCGTGCAGGTCCCCTAATCCACTAAAACCAGACGACAGGTGGCAGCGGTCCGCGCCTGGGCCTCCACGCTCGCCAGAAACGCGACTTGGCGGACCTGGAGACCTTGACAGACGTGGGAAAGAACCCCCCCCCCCTGACGACTCCCCCATCCCTGGCCGACAGCCCAAACCCGCGATCCAGCTTTTTTCCAATATCCCGTGACCCGTGACCTGGCCTTGACCACCACTCGCTCCTCGCTTCGATTCCATTCGTCCCATTGCCCATCTCTCAGAAGGTCCCCTCGGATCTGCCATCTTGTTACTGTTCCTCGCATCCAAACTACGGGCTTGTTGTCACGACGCGTTGCTTGCATTGCTCAAGCGTCTCTTGCTTTTAGCTGCTTTCCCCCCCCTATCGTCCCTCTTGGACCGTGTCTTGCTGTTCTGCAGACAAAGAGAAAGAAGCCCATATCCGCGAGGTAAGTGACGCAACCCTTGATTTCTGCCACTGCGACCCCGAACCAGGCATTGCCCTGCTCCATTGCTCGGCTTGGGCCAGACAAACCAGCCACGGCGTTGCCAGAGAATGTGCTGCCGACCTCATCCCTGCCATTGCTCGTTATCGTCTTCACCCTCCCCTTTCCTCCAAGCGTCATCCTGACGATGGCCGAATTCGCTTGCTGACCTGCCACCACGATAGCTCCCTCAACATAATCGACCATCCTCGCTCTCTCGGCCGAACATTGTCCTCCCCGGAATAACGATCCATCATGTCTGACGTCGAAGGTTTCGAGGTCGTTCAGCACGACGAGGTCCCCGTCCAGGCAAGCTCGCCCTCGCCTGCACCTGCGCCTGCTGCCGAGGAGCCCGCGGCTGAAGCTCCTGCCAAGGATGCTGCCGCCGCGGCCGCCACCGCTCCGGTGAAGAAGACAGCCACAGCCACTGGCGGTGTCCGTCGTCCCGTGGCCCCCGGAACCAAGCCCACGACCGCCACGACGAGCACCACCCGCGCCAGTGGTCTGACCAAGCCTCCCACGCGACCCCCCGTGCCGTCTACCATCCGACGCCCCACGACGGCTTCCTCGACCGCCACCCACCGATCCCGCCCTAGCGTATCTGCATCCGAAGACGAGACCAAGAAGCCCGCCACCTCGGCGCTGCGCCGTACCTCGGTCGCCCCAGGCACCACGGCCGCCAGCTCCCCCGGCAAGGAGAGGACCTCGAGACTGTCCACCGCCAGCTCCACCACCGCTGCTGCTAGGAGGCCGACCAGCACCGTCGGCAGCGGCAGCACCGCCACTGCTCGCACGACGACGACCCGACCTACGACGACGTCCTCGACCACGTCTCGGCTTACGAGGCCGACGACCGCCAGCAGCAGCGCCACCACCGATGCCGCGAAAAAGCGCCTCTCCACTGCGGGACCTGCCACGTCCACCACGGCCACCAGAACGGCTCGCACATCTCTGCGCCCAGGCAGCTCCGGTGCCGGCGAGGCGTCAGCCAAGGAGATCGAAGAGCTCAAGGCCAAGCTGGCCGAGAAGGAGTCCGAGGTGACCGATCTCAAGGCCCAGGTGGAGCAGTCCCACGAGAAGCTAGCGGAGCTGGCGGACCAGACGCCCCAGGCGGCTACGCCCGTTGAGAGCAACGCTGATGGCGCTTCGGATGTGGCCCATCAAGCGAACGACGAGGAAGTCGTGGCGCTCAAGGCTAAGGAGGAGGAGCTGGAAGCCCAGCTTGTCGAGACGAATGAGAAGCTCGCTGCTGCCACGGAGGAACTCGAGAAGCAGAAGCAGGAGTACAAGGAGGCCGTCGCTGCGAGGGAGGCAGCGGAGACTGAGCTCGCCACTGTCAAGGAATCCATCGAGACGCTGCAGGGCGAGCACGATGCTAAGCTCAAGGACGGCGAGGCTCAGCTCACCAAGGCCACGGCAGAGCACGCTTCCAAGATGGAGGAGCTGCAGGCTTCGCTCGCCCAGCAGCACGAGACGGCTCTAGAGGGCCTCAAGTCGCAGCACGCAGACGAGTTGGCTCAGGGCAAGGCTTCCTCGACGGAACACGAGGCGGCGATCACCGCCATCAAGATTAACCATGAGGCGGCCATTGCAGAGCTGCAGAAGAAGATTGACAGCCTGACGGCTTCGCAGGCGGAGGTGGAATCTGCTCAGGAGACGAAGCTGCAGGCCGCCGAGGAGGCCCATCAGGGCAAGATCGCCACGCTTGAGGCGGATGCCGCCTCCTTTTCCGCCAAGCTCGAGGCCGCGGAGAAGGCTGCCGCGGAGGCCAAGGCTGACCTGGAAGCCAAGACGGCCGAGCTGTCGACCCTGCAGGCCAGCGTTGCTGGTGTTGAGGCGCAACTCGAGGCTGCCAAGGCTGATGCCGCCAAGGCTCGAGAGGAGGCCGAGGCGCTGCAAAAGCAAGTCAGCACCCTAGTCGAGGAGAACAGCGCCAAGGAGGAGGCACTTGCCAAAGTCAAGGCCGACCAGAAGGCCATTGTCGCGCGGCACGAGGATCAGCTTCACCAGGTTTCACAGGACTACGAGGCGGAGATTGAGAGTCTCAAGGGCGACGCGCACTTCAAACGCCAGTTCACTGCCCTCGAGATCAAGTACAAGGAGCTCGAGGCGTCGCACGGCGAGCTGACGCAGACGCACGGCGATTCTGAGTCTAGCCATGCCAAGGCTGTCGAGGCGGCGAAGGCGGAGCACGCTGCTGCCGTTGCCGCACTTGAGGCGAAAGAGGCCGAACACAAGCAGGCGCTGGATGCTCTCCGGGCCAGCCACGCGGAGGAGCTCGAGGTCGCGAAGAACGGAGCCAGTGCAGACAAGGACACGCACCTCACGGAGCTGCAGTCGCTCAAGGACAGCCATGCTGAACAGCTGGAGACATTGAGGGCTCAGGGCGAGGCTTCCCTTGCCAAGGAGATTGAGGCGCTCAAGGCGTCGCACGACGAGATCCTTAAGGGCATCGAGTCCAGCAGCACGAGCGACAAGCAGCAGCTCATCGCCAGCCACGAGAGTGAGCTGGCCGCGGCCAAGCAGAATGACGATACAGCGCATGCGGCCGAGGTTGAGGGTCTGAAGAAGCAGCTCGAGGAGGCTCTGGCCCAAGTCAAGGCCGCTGAGGCGGCGAGCGCGGCAGCCCTCGAGGCGGCGAAGAAGGACCTTGAGACGACGCACTCGGGCGAGGTGGAGAAGCTCATCATGGTGCACGCCGAGCAGCTCGAGGCGCTCAAGTCGGAGGGGCGCCGCCGGCGCGCAGAGCCAGCTTGAGGACCTCAAGGCGGCGCACGCCAAGGCCGTCGCCGACCTGACCAAGGAGCACGAGACCAAGGGCACCTCTCTGACCGAGGCGCTCGCCCAGCAGAAGCTAGCACTCGCCGAGCTGCAGACTGCTCTCGAGGTCGCCGAGGACAACCTTGCGCGTCTCGAGGCCGAGAAGTCTCAGGTCGAGGAGGAAAACGGCGAGCTGGGCCAGCAGTTGGCGACGGAGAAGATGGCGCGGTTCGAGGCCGTCGCCGCGCTCGACGACGCCAAGAACCAGAAGGCCGACACGTCCGAGCTCACGTCGCTGCAAGCGACCAAGGCGAGCCTTGAAAAGGAGCTCCAGGTGGTGCAGGCCAGCCTCGTGGCGGCGGAGCAAAAGATGCAGGGTCTCGAGGCGGACGTCCTGACGGCACAGAAGGATCTCGAGGCCACTCGTCTCGAGGCGGAGGCCCGCGACAAGACGAGCAAGGTCGACTACGAGGAGATGCACGACAGCCTCACCAAGGTGGCGGATGAGGCGCACGCACAAAGCAAGGCCTACGAGGCGCAGCTGGAGGAGCTCAAGACGGCGGCGCTGGAGAAGCAAAAGGCCGTCGAGGAGCTCGAGGCGCAGCTCAAGGTCAAGGATGCGGAGATTGCCGAAGTCAAGGTATGTGGTGGTTGTGACGAGGACGGTGGTGTCCCGCGGGGAACGGAACGCGGCTCGGGACGCGGCTAACGGCACGACAGGCCAACGCTACCAAGCCCAAGGGACTCGCGGCGAGCCGGTACGCCGACGCGCCGGGTGACGCGGACGGCAAGACGGACGAGGAAGGTGAGGACGAAGACCACTCCTCGGCGGCTCTGGCCATGGTGCGAACGCCCCTCGCGTGCGGCTCAGCGGACGCGCTGTGAAGGATTCATGCTGACGTTGTGTTGAGCAGTTGCAAAAAGCTAGAGTGCACGCGCGACAGATTGACAGCATGGACCGCGACATGAAGGAGAGGAACCTGGCCATGCTGGATTCGATCACAGACTTTCAGACGCCGCCCCTGCGCTCATGATCTCTGATCTGGATCGGCTCTTGACTTGTTCTCCTCGTCTCGCCTGTTTTCGGGGGGGCGGCACAAGGTTCCTGTTTACTTTGTGCACCGACTCATGTGTGCATCGACGGATTTGTGCATCGACGGATTTGTGCATCGACACTTGGATTGGGGCAGGAAAAGGGGTGGATGGGGCTGGCCCCTCTATCTGGCGGACGCGTGACGTGAGGTCTGCTGCCAGCCGGTGTTGTCGTTTTCTGCGTATCCGCACGGGCGTATCGAGTTGTGTGGTATTGCTGGCGACGGCCGAGCGAGAGCAAGACGGAGATGCTGCGTCCCTCGGCGTCGAAGCTGTGTAATTATGGTATGGATGTGTAGCAATGGACGATACCCCTTCTCAGATGGTTCTACACGTGTTTGTCTTTGATGTCTTGACGTTCTCGGTTGTCCAGTCCTTGTCGATGACTGGGCTCATTTCGCCGACTTTCCTCCTTTCAACAGAATTATTGGGTTATTCCCGGCCCATCGCATCGGAAATTTCACTCGGTCCGCACGGCTCGACAGGGTCACGATGATGCGAGTTTTTTTCTTCCTGTTTTTTTTGATCTCTTCTGGTTTTCTCGTTCCGACTCGCGGTTCTCCTTCGGCGTCTCTCTCTCTGCGACGGGTGACTTGTGGGTAGGAAATATCGGGGGCATGGAGCTCCGGGCTCGCTCGGGGCGACTCTCTGCGGCCGGGAGGGGCGGAGGAACGAACGTGATGGGTGCTCAGGTGCTCAGGTGCGATGAGGTGGTGGGCAGGTAGGGAGGTCCTTCTGCACGATGTGGGTGCCGGCAGATTGTCTCGAGCCAGGGTCGCCATGGGAGGGCTGATCGATCTCCTGCAGGGTCCAGGCTGGCTGGCTGGCGTGGACGGACAGCGACAGAGAAGTCGGACGATGTGCTTTTTTTTTTCGGACCCGAATAGAGACGGCATTTTGGAAGGCTTGGAAAAGGGGTCTGTCGGATCATGGTGGCGGACGCAGGCCTGGCCGTAGATCTGCTCTTGCCCTGTCCATCTTGCACGCCACGGGCGGCGGCAGCCAGAGGAGGCAGCGGCAGCCAGAGGAGGCAGCGGCAGAGCGACAGGACGGGAAGCAGGGGGGGGGTGAGGCTCTTCGGCATGATGTCAGAGGTCCGGCAGTCGTGGCTCCACTGCACCTGCCGCCGCACTGCAATGCTCTGCACCTGCCCCACCGCAATGCTCTGCACCTGCCCCACCGCAATGCTCTGCACCTGCCCCACTGCAATGCTCTGCACCTGCCCCATTGCAATGCTCTGCACCTGCCCCACTGCAATGCCCTGCACCACCTGCTCCACCGCAAACGCCCTGCAAATGCCCTGCACATTGCCAAGGCTCCGCTGCCACGGCAAATTGCGAATGCCTGCAGATGCTCCGCTGCCCACCGCAAATGGCACTGCACTGCTCCGCCACTGCGAATCGTCGTCGACGGCCACGGCAAATGGACCGCTGAGGCTGGCTTGCCTGGCATGCCTGGGCCGCGTCCCGCTGGATCTGGCTGCTGCTGCTCGCTACTGCACTGGACGCGCCGGCGTGCTGCTAGTGCCTTGGTGCACAGAACCTGGGCAGCTACAGTGGGAACCCAGTCCGTCAGGCAGGTCAGCAAGGTCAGGCAAAGGTCTGGCACTGGCTGACTCGAGGACGCTGACGAGAAACAGCCCACGTCATCTCTCTGTCTTGGTCATCGAGGTTCCATGGGGGACTTCTCAGATCATGGGGTCCCCAGGCCATGGCATGGAGGAACGACTCGAGACGGCGGCGATGGCGAGCGCTGGACGGCACGAGGAAGATGCTGCCGTGCCACAGTGGCCGTCACGATGCTGTTGTGTCAAAAGCACGAGATGGCCCTCGCGGCCAGAGCCGCCCCATGTCACGCCATCACCCATGGTCCGATCTGTGCCAGGGTTCGCTGCCCGAGAGCCATCAGAATGGGCTCTCATCAGCCGGCCGAAAGCGGGAATAGTACAGGCTGCTTTCTGTCCCGATAGAGCACATGACTAAGGTCGAAAGGCTCCACGCTGCCGAACGCCGACAGACGGACCGAATTGAGTTTGCGCCGGGGCCCCCCCTCGAGCTGGCGGCCGCCGGTTGCAGGTTGGCGTCAGTATGGTAAATCGGCCTTCTTATTTTGGGTTTATGTGATGCCGATGTTTAAACCTGCGCTTAGGTCCGATCGATGACCATGCCATCTTGCAACGCCGTTTCGAAGGTGACATGGCGGCATGGCCTTTGGTGGATTGGCTGCACCGGTCTTTGATATCATGATGAACGGCGAGAGAATGACAGGATGCATGACAGAGGATGGACGACATAAGGATCCTCAATGATGGCCGTCGTACGAACACCACGCAAGGAACATGACAGCAAAAAGGTCTGGCAATACCACATAGGCCGGCCCACCCATGCGCAAGCTCCACGCATTCTCTAAGCTCCGACAATTCGGCGATCGAACGGGACCAGACGGAAACGGGGAACGCCCGATCTTCTCGACAACGCGAGACCCTCGACTTCTCCCCCCTCCCCCCTTCCCCTCATGCTGCTTCCCCTAGCAGCCAGCCACGCACCGACGAGACCGGCCGAGGCGGCGGGGAACGCAAAGTCCACTGCCTCCCCTTCAAGAGCGAACACCCGAGTGCACCTGACTGGGTGAGACTTTCTGGGGGTGGTCGGGCACCGCGGTAAGAACGGGTTCGCCGCTATCGTGAACGGACTTGCCCGTATATGACGTCTACAGTGAGTAGGGCAGACCCCATGCGAGCGCCGAGGTGGTGTGGTTTTTAGTAGAGACACAAACAAGCCAGCCGTATGGGTAAGCAGGAGAAGGAGGGGGAAAGAACTGGGGACCATCTGGGGATGCGTAAAAGGCCATTGTTCCGCTGTCTTGTTCGCTTGTCGTGAGATCTTCTTCTTGTTTTCCCATCGTCTCTTCGGAGCTCACTCTACATCATATACTACTCACAACAACCCAACAGTAAGGTACTTTACTTCAGGCCACACACTCTTGGCTGGAGTACCATCATCACACACACATATATCTACCTCGACAAGGTTAAACAAACTCCTACAGCTCATGGATCAATCCGAAAGCCGTAAACCGAGTGCCACCACCATGCCAGACTCGCACCACGACGCCATGAAGGAGGCACCGCCCGTCCATGCCGTCAACTTTCGCGTCCTCGTCATGGGCCTCCTCGTCTCCATGGGCGGCTTCATCTTTGGCTACGAGGGCGGCGCCATCTCCGGCTACCTCCAGATGAACGACTTTATCAGCCGCTTCGGCGAGCACGGCGAGGCCCTCGGCAAGGTCCGCACCGGCTGCATGGTCGCCTTCCTCTGCGCCGGCTGCCTCATCGGCGCCCTCGTCAGCGCGCCCATCGCCGACAAGTACGGCCGCAAGTACAGCATCACCTTCTGGAACGTCATCTACATCGTCGGCAACATCGTCGCCATCACCGCCCGCACGACCTGGTACCAGGTGCCCCTGGCCCGTCTCGTCGGCGGCCTCGGCATCGGCGCCCTCTCGGTGCTGACGCCCATGTACCAGTCCGAGACGTCGCCGCGCCAGGTCCGCGCCATGCTCGTCAGCGCCTACCAGCTCTTCATCACCCTCGGCATCTTCACCGCCTACTGCATCAACTACGGCACCGAGTCCATCTCGGGCGCCGCCTCGTGGCGCATCACCATGGGCTGCGGCTTCATCGCCCCGGCCATCATGGGCCTCGGCGTCCTGACGCTGCGCGAGTCGCCGCGCTGGGACTTCCGCCACGGCCGCACCGACGAGGCCGAGACGACGCTGGCCCTCCTCTCCGGCGTCGATCGCACCCACCCCACCGTCCAGCACGAGATTCGCGACATCCGCAAGCAGCTCGCCGCCGAGCACGCCGAGCAGGCCTGGCACGAAGTCTTCACGGGCCCCGCCATGATGCGCCGCACCCTCCTCGGCATGGCGCTGCAGGCCCTGCAGCAGCTCACGGGCGCCAACTTTTTCTTCTACTACGGCACCCAGATCTTCGCCGCCGTCGGCCTCAGCAACTCGTACGTCACGTCCATGATCCTCGGCGCCGTCAACTTTGCCTCGACCATTGTCGGCCTCTGGATCGGCCAGCGCTTCGGCCGCCGCCCCGCCCTCATCGTCGGCGGCACCTGGATGTTCGGCTGCTTCCTCGTCTTCGCCTCGCTCGGCTCCTTCGCCCTCTACCCCGACAACAACCCGGGCGACGCCAACGCCCGCACCAACTCGGGCGCCGGCGGCGCCATGATCGCCTTTGCCTGCCTCTTCATCTTCGGTTTCGCCACCACCTGGGGCCCCCTCGTCTGGGCCCATCGTCGGCGAGATGTTCCCCTCGCGCTACCGCGCCCGCAGCATGGCCCTCTGCACCGCCTCCAACTGGCTCTGGAACTTCCTCATCTCCTTCTTCACGCCCTTCATCACCGACGCCATCCACTACAAGTACGGCTACGTCTTTGCCGCCTGCTGCGGCGCCGGCGCCATCATCACCTACTTCTTCGTCGTCGAGTCCCAGGGCCGCTCCCTCGAGGAGGTCGACACCATGTACGTCGAGGGCGTCGTGCCCTGGAAGAGCAAGACGTGGCAGGCTGCCGAGGGCCAGCTCGACGGCAGCGAGCCCTCGGCGGAGAAGGCCGACTCGAGCGGCGAGCACCTGCGTGTGTAGCTGTGTTTAGGGTGACTGTACGATAGATGGTTTTTGTATGAATGAATCACGAGTTATTTGCAGTTGCTTGGCTGTGACGGCGTGCTGTGCCTTTTGCGTGTAGTCTTCCTGTTTGGCCGTCATGGAGTGTATCAGCCTTGATTGAATTGACGGGCCGGGGGATCAGATGTACGATGTCCCGGATGTGTTCACCTTCAGCTGGTCGTGGCCGTTACGGCAATCCTACTCCGTCTAGGTGATGTAAAAGTGAGAAACCGTCAAACTAATCCAAGAGACTATCCAAACGGTACCGAGCCTCGTCAGTCGCCATACTGTAGACGTCAAGAGACGAGTTCCCCACATCCGTAGACTGTTCGCTCCCCCCCTTCTACCCCAGATCTCGCATGTCAGCCGAATCACCCGCCTTGACTACAATCGCTCACCGGAAGACGCCCACAGCGTGCACATGACGTGCCTCGCCGACTACGCATGCACAGCGTCAGCCTCCCTCGAGCCTAGATCGCAGACTATTTGTCGCTCTGCCCGCTCCCGTGTCGGCAGGCCAATCGGATCCGAAGCGATCGCCACGTCCGGCGCAGCTGAACGCTGGCACGCCCCGCCCCTCGCGCGGAGGCCTCGGGGGGTTTCTTCTTAAAAACAATGATGCTTTCGTCTGCGATGGGCAAATCTGCGCGCCATTCCCGAGATCCGGCGCTTTCGCATCGACAGCGACAGGCCCGATGGAGGTCTGTTCCGTTTTCGACCTGACCACGACGGCGCTGAGCCTCAGCTGGAAGGTCTACCAGTTCTTCCGGGCCGTCCAGGACGCGCCGGCCGAGGTCGGGGAGTATCTCGAGGCCCTCGAGGCGACGCGGACCACGCTGCACGACGTCCAGGAGTATGCCGCGGCCCACGAGCAGTCGTCGTTTGCGCGGGCCGACGGCCTGCAGCTGCGGACGCTGACGGCCGTGCTGAAGGACTGCGAGCTCGCGTTCGGGCTGCAGCTCTCGAGCATGGAGACCTACCAGACGGGCGACGTCACGTCGCGGTTCACGCGGCTGCGCAAGGGGGCCGCGTTCGTCTTTGGCCGGGAGTCGATGGCGAAGAACACGGGCAAGCTGCTGATCTGGCGGGACCTCCTCGCCCACGCCATGACGACGTCGATCGGGTATGTTGTCGTGTGCCCCCTCCCCCCCCCCCGGGTCCCTGACGATGCCGCGCGCTGAGAACTGGCCAGGCGCAACACGATTCTGCTCCGGGACCAGCTGCAGCCCATGGGCGCCGACATTCAGGACATGAACCAGAGGCTGAGGGACGACGAGAAGGAGCGCCAGAAGCTGTTCCAGACGTTTGGCCAGTATCAAAAGGCGCTCGGCTCGGGCATCGCCATGCTGCTGGACTGTGCGCGCAGTGCCGGCATCCGCAACACGACCCGCGTGGAGGATCTGGGCATGCATTTTGCAGAGGATCCGTTCCTGTCGGAAGAGCAGCAGCCTGGCTCGAGCGGCGGCGCAGAAGCGCCCCCGAACGGAAGCACGGATGGCTTGGTGGTACGGCCAGGAGGCGCCGTCTCTGAGCCGGGCACGGCACCAACTGTGCAGGCGAACGACGAGTCGCCCAATGCTGAGGCTTCTTACACGTAAGTGCATTCATCTTTCTGTCAGACCTGCGGCTGACCTCTCCAGCCAAGCACATGCCATCGAGGCTGCATTCCGCGCCGTGGCGCAGACAGCGAGCCCGAAGCAGGTGGAGATTCTGGACGCCATACGAAATCCTGAAGCGGCCCTGACAATCCTCAACGACAAGCAGCCCTCGACACGTGCTGCCAAGTCACGACCGGTCCTGTCTGTCTTCTCCAAGTCGCTCGGCCCTCTGGCCAGATCCGGGTCCGATGTGGCAGCAACGGCTATGGGCAGTATGGACTTTATGCTGAGCATGAGCATGGTTCGTGTTGCCTCTTGCTCTTCCCCCCCCCCCCTGTAGCAGGCAACGCCATGTTCACAGCTGACACGTCCGCAGAACGTCTACGGCGAGGTCGACGCCACGCTGTCCGAGGTCGCCGACGCCGCCGACCTCTGTCGCCGCGAGCTCGCGCTCAACCCGGGGGAGACGCTCTTCCGCCTGACGAGCCAGGTGTACAGCGTCATGTTCAGCATGAGCATCATGTGCTACGAGTTTGTGCTGTCGCGCGCCACGGCCAAGCTGGCCATGATCCACACGTTTCGTCCCAAGCTGGACGTCAAGCTGGCGGAGCTGCGTCGCGCCTGCGACCGCGTCACGCGCGAGGTCGACTTTCGCCATCGCGTCGAGATGCGGCGGGCGGGCCGGACGATTGCCGCGCTGCAGGTCGAGCAGCAGAAGATGGCGGGCATGCTGCGGGACCAGAAGGCCATTCTCGAGTCGGTCCGGCAGGAGAGGACCATGATGGAGGCCGCGCGCGAGCAGCAGCGGATTTCTGGAGCTCGTTCAGCAGATTCAGTTTCAGATGCAGGCGGAGCGGGCTGAGCGCATGATGATCACGGCCACGGGGGAGTAGCAGTGAAGAGATGACCATCTTACAGCGCATTCAGGTCAACCCCTTATAGGTATGAGTCCATGAGATCGTGACGATGAAGTTTCCATATCACCAGACAAGACAGCTGATATGACAGCGATTTGAAAACAAAGATGTCTGATATAGTTAGTTCCTCGTCGAATATGCAGCCTATCGATACCAATAACATCAACGTCACGCTGTCATTGACTATCATATGGGGCCAGAAGCCTGGACACTGGCACATTAACCAGACAATTCAATCTGGGAATACCCTAGCTCAAGGCCAGCTACTGAATTAGGTACTTCATGTGGTTGACTGATATATTGATATCACGAGGGCCCAGATGCAGCCACATGTTGCAAAACCGATGCAATCCAATATCGAACCTAAATTTTGCTTTCCGCAAGATAATGCTCAAGAATCACAAGTTCTTACTTCGTATGCCAATCGTGAGATGCTGACCAAAGACGACCACCCGAGGCTTGGCGTCGAAGGATTGGCTAGCCTGGAAGCGTACGATGGCTTCGTGCGGGGGAATGAGCTGCTAACGCGTCATTGCGCCTCGCATGCTTTCGGGAATACGATGCAGCCACTACTCGTCTTGGAGGCATTGCTGGTCCGGCGCCTTTAAAGGAAGAACAACGTCCTAGACCGTTCGGTTCGGCGCGGCTCCAAGATCTCAGCACTGGGAGCTCGACACTCCTCGAGACGACGCCTCAGCTCATCATGATGCAGTCAGCGTTTTTCATGGCAACCATGCTCTCACTGTACGTTTTTTGTTTTGCCGTTTCTGCCGTAAAACAAGCATGGATCTCCCCGTCTGACACCGCAGCAGCATGGCCGTGGCCCAGGAGCCGCCGTCGACGACAACGACCGGCCCGCCTTTTCCAGGCGTGCTGCCCACGGTCACGCCGCAGTCCGGCTGCCCTGCCGTCACGGAAACAGGCATCCTCTGCTCGACCTGCGTGGTCCCGGCGTGCATCGAGTTCTCGACGGTGACGCAGGTCTGCGGCTGCCCGACGCCCGTCGCGACGGTCTACCTCAACTGGCCCTGCGGCGGGGAGGAGGCGTGCGCCGGGGCGGGCTGCACGACTGCTTTCCAGGTGGAGGGTCTGTCGGGGCCGTGCGCGTCGACGACGACGGGAGACGAAAGCGGCGGCTCGGCGCCAGACACGACGACGGCGTCTGTGCCGGTGACGACGAGTGCGCCCGAGGCATCCACGCCTGGGGGCACGTCAGGGCCGGAGACGACGGGGTTCACAACGCCGCAGCCGAGCTCGAATGGCACGGTGCCGGGGCCGTCGTCTAGCGGGCCGACGTCGGTGGCGGAGAATGCGGCGGGACGGATGAGGGTGCCCTTGTTGGGATGGTGGTGATGCTTCGAACTATCGGGTGCCGTCGGAGAGGATCAGCAGGCACGGCAAGGGTGGTGATCGTGGAACCCGATGGTCATTGGCCGTATCATTTTTGAACACATGATGTTTCGTGGCCGAGCTTCCAGAAGGTTGATGGCATGTCAATCTGCGATGGCCTTGCACGACGTGCGATGGCCTTGCACGACCTGCGATGGCACGACTTGGCCGTCTGATGAATCCACACAGAGATGATCAGCTGCTGGATCTACCTGCCTGCCTAGGTACCTAGGTACCCTAGGTAAGGTTGTAAGGTAAGGTGCCTTGGTAGGTAAGGTGCCTTGGTAGGTAAGGTGCCTTGGTAGGTAAGCAGTAAGGTGCCTTACCTGGTAGGACGAGGACGCGGACCTTGAGGGCCCCACAGGGGTCTTGTGGGTCGCCGTCGAGAGATTTTCCGGCGCTCGGGGCGCTAGAAGGAGCTTATCTACAGCGGTCGCACGGCTGGCAGGGCACGGCTGCAGGGCACGGCTGGCAGGGCCCTGCTGGAAAGGCAGACCCTCGGCCAATGACCATTGCGGCGATTCACATGCAATGGAAGAAGGACGGCAGAGGGACTCATTGTCGGGGTGTTCCAGTGATGGGGATGCAATCAGTGACGGGGGTACAATGCAGTGAAAGAGAACGTACCAACTACGCTTCCTAGTCTTTTCCCACGACAACATGCTTTTTTTCTCTTCCGTTTCCTCGTCGTCTTGGAAGGATGTAAGATGTGTGAACCGCCAGAGATGCTAAACAGTTGCTTACCTAACACCAGTGGCGGGGGCTAGAAAAAACCCCCCATCATCATGACGGTGTAAAGCCCAGCGAGGTCGCCTGGAGGTCGCCTGGAGGTCGCCCAGAGATCGCCTGGAAGTCGCCTGACTGGCGGTGCCTTATCGACCGGGTCGACTGCCTGCCGAGTCCGTATCTTCGAATGCGACGGCAACTCTGTACATCCAACTGCATGCACACCTACCCGACCGAACCCTTCCTCTTGTCTTCGATTCACCTCCCATTCCACACCGACTCGACTCGCCTCTCCGACCACCCGACATATAGCCTCTCTTTCGACCTGCGGTTGCTCTCCATCATTCTGTCACATAGCCCATCCGCCCGCCCGCCCGCCTGATCTCTGCCCGACGATTGCTCGTTGACCCATCCCGAGACTCTGCGAGACTGCCCCTCCAACATCGCCAGACCGCCTCGACCTGCTGCGATACCCCGCCACGATACTACGTCGGTCAGAGCAGTCCAGCCTCTCTCTCACAGTCTCTTGCAGTCGATCTCGACGATCGAATCTCACTCCATCATCCGCCCCAATGTCCCGATGGATCCCTCCGACAACATGCTACTCCATCTGAGGAGGAGCAACAGCTCCTCCTCGTCCCTCCACTTCAAGCCCCGCGACCGCAAGCTGCGGCTGCTCGTGGCCGCGACGGGCCCCCGAGACACCTCATGGGCGAGCGCCCTCGTCGTCCGTCTCTCCAAGAACCCCGGCATTGAGATGCGCGCCATCGTCGACGACGTCATCCCCCGCCTCAGCCAGACCATCATCGTCATGCAGAACCGACCCATGGTCGCCCCCCTCGTCGCCGGCGCCGGCACCGACGCGGAATCGAGATCAGAAATGGACGACATCGAATTCTACCGTCAACAGGCTTTCGGCTTGGTCGAGTGGGCCGACCTCATGGTCCTCGTGCCCATCGATGCCGACAACCTCGCCAAGATGATGGCTGGCATCGCCGACACCCTGCTCCTCGAGGTCCTGCGCGGCTGGGACTCGGCCAAGAAGATCCTGCTCGTGCCCGGCATGAGCACCCACATGTGGGAGAACCCCGTCACAAAACGCCAGATGAGCAAGATCCACCGCAAGTGGCATTGGCTGCGGCCCATGCCGCCCATCCTTTGGCACTACGACGACAACCCCAAGACCCCGAAGCGCATCGTCAACTGGTCCGCCTTCAACGACATCCTCAGCATCATCAAAAACCAGGCCGACCTTATGGGTCTCGGCCGTGACGTGGACGTCGTCTCGCACCTCTCCGGCACCCTCACGGCCTCCCCCAATCGCCCCATCCACTCCAAGCTACCCCCCGAAATCTGGACCATCATCCTCGACTTTACGCAGGACTGGGAGCTCGCCCAGGCCCTCGGCGTCTACACCAATGCCGTCATGCCGCACCCCTGGGCCCTGACGCCCAAAGACCCCCGTGACCCCATCCAGGTCTACGCCCACGAGCTCGAGTGGCTCGTCCTGACCTGCAACAGCCCCGCCATCTGCAAGAAGCTGCTGCAGTCGCCCCCCGCCCTCCACGACCTGCCGGCCCTCGTCATCAAGCTCATCATCCGCTTCTCCCTCATCGACGTCCTCGCCTGGATGGAGGCGAACCGCCCCGACCTCTTCAAGGCCTTTGACGGCAAGGTCCTGCCGACCAAAGCCTCGGCCTACTACGGCCGCCCCGACGTGCTCGACTACTGGAAGCAGTCGCACTTTTTCCACCACGGCGCCGCCCGCGCCCCCCGCACCGATGCCTCGGACCTCTACGACGCCGAAGCGCTGGACGGCGCCTCTAAGAACGGCTTCGTCCGCGTCCTCGACTGGTGGTGGCGCCGCTCGGGTCTGCCCCTCGTCTTCACCGAGGCCGCCCTCGAGCAGGCATCCGGCAAGGGCCACCTGCTCGTGCTCGAGTGGTGGCGCGACGCCGCCGCCCAGGACGACCGCATCGTGCTGCGGCCCGGCAAGTCGCTCCTCTGGGCGGCGCAGCACGGCCAGGCCGCCGTCCTCCGCTGGTGGGTCGCGTCCGGCATCCCCGTCGCCCACGGCGACAGCGTCGCCAAGATGGCGAGCCGCTGGGGCCAGGTCGACGTCCTCGAGCTCTGGCGCCAGCTCAAGGGGGACGATAAGCTCGTCTTTGACGCCGAGGTCCTCATCCAGCCCACCATCCACCAGCACGTCGACGTGCTCGAGTGGTGGCGCCGCTTCGCCCACGGCGAGCTCGACGCCATGGACGGCCGCCGCCACCGCGTCGAGTACCGCACCTGCGACATTGAGGAGGCCCTCGAGGACAGCATTGGCGACCAGGAAAAGGTTCGCCGCTGGTGGGCGCGCGTCGGTCTCAACCTCGGCCTGCGGAATATTGAGTGGATGAGGACAAAGTGTCTCTGACCCCAAGCACTTTCAACCACCATTTTTCTCTGTTGCTGCTCCTCCGGGGACGTGAAGCCAACCACGCTCATCGAGTTTACGTACATTTTATGAATTGGACGGAAAGCGTTTTTTTTTTTACTTTGGTTTTCGGGGGTTTTTCCCCCTTTTCGGGATGAACACAAGCATGGCGTTTCGGATGGCCGGGGAGCAAACGCACGAACACAGCCACAAAAGCTTGACTCTGATTTTCCCCTCCGATTTTCCCTACGAGCATCGATATGAACTAGAGGGGGCGCGCGCACACAGTTTTTGTATCGAATAGTAGTAGTAGCAGGCAGGGGGTTTTAGGTGGGGGGTATAGTCCTCATTATGCAGCATACGTTATCACGAAAGAAAAAGCTCTGTGTAATTACAATCCTTCGCGCCATCTGCTCGTTGCCTGTGGACCATCAATCTGTTTTTTCTCTCCTTGCGAAACTTCGTCCCTCGTATAGCAACGGTCGCCTCATATTCAGAGAGTCAGCGCCACGCCAAAGAGGAGAGCGGCCACGAAGACGAGGCCGCTGATGCTGCGCTGCACGGCGTCTGAGGCGGTGTTGCCCGAGCCCGATGCTCCTGTCGCCACCGGGGCCTCCGTTGTGGTAGGGGAGTCCAAGGCGCGCGGAGACGACGTGGTCGGCACGGCGACGGGGGTAGGGAGATCGGTGTCGTCGTCGTCGTCACCGCTCGGGGGTGAAAAGGATGGTGTGGGCGTGGGATCGGGCGACGTGGTCGTGTCGTCGTCTGAGTTGTCTCCACTGCCGCCGCCGCCGCCACCGCCGCCGCCGCCACCGCCAATGGGGCATCGCCATGAGGAGCCGTCCTGTCGGCAGGTCGCACCGGCATCGCAGTAGTAGCCATCGGTTGAGCAGCAGACGGAACCCTCCGGCATGCAACGGTCACCGCACGTCTCCTTGCCCGAGGGACACCCATCATCGCTACCGCCGCCGCCGCCGCCACCACCGCCGCCGGAGCTGCCTCCGGAGCAGAAGCCGTCACCTGCGCAGGTGAGACCGGCATCGCAGTACTTGCCGGGCGAGCAGCAGTTCGATCCGACGGGCATGCACCAGAGGGATCCGCACTCCTCTTGTCCAACGGGGCATCCGTCATCACCACCGCCGCCGCCGCCACCACCGCCACCACCACCTCCTCCGCCTCCGCCGCCGGTCGAGCACCTGCCGTCACTGGTGCACGTTTCGCCGGCGGCGCAGTGGCCGCCATTGCCGCAGCACACAGCACCCTCAGGCATGCACTGGTTGTCGCCGCATGGCTCCTGGCCCTCGGTGCAGCCCGAGGGGTCACCGGTACAGATCTTGCCGAGCGGGCAGCAGCCACCCGAGTCGCAAGAGGTGCCAATATCGCAGTAGCTGCCGTTTCCCCAGCCGCAGCAGATGCCGGAAAAGGGGGCGCACCACTGGGAGTCACACTCGACGCCGCGGAGGCCGCAGCCGTCTTGGCGCGTGTCGAGGAGGTTCAGGAGTGGGTGAGGCACCGGGTCGCGAGCTGTATTGGCGGAACGCGAGGAGAGGTGAGGAAGGGGTACGGCCAGGGAGAGAACGGTCTTGGAGGACTTGACGGCTGGGGCCTGGCGTTCGGGGTACGAGAGTGACGTCGCCTGGGCGAGGGGCAGCAGGAGAAGTGTTGTGAGGGAGAGACGCATGGTGGGTGGTTTCCCTTTGCTGGGGAGAGCTGTCTCGGTGTAAAAGGGTAGGTATTGCTCAGCCTTAAGCTGGTTTATGATGGAGGCTCTCGCGATGCCTAGACAGCGAATGTATGGTCTGGAGATGGAAGCGACCAACGTTGATGGCGCCACTGGGGGCCAAACATCTTTGAGAAGTAGGTTCTTGTTTATATATACGCCACGCGAGGCGCCTTCACCTGCAAGTCCTGTGCGAGACCCGGGGGATCAGCGACCAAAGCCATCACGGCCAACGACCAGACTGGAAGCCAGGCCAGGGCCCGCGACCTCGGACCAGCTGGCAGCCTTGCGGTCCCTGGTCCCTGGTAACTTGACGGGGTATGCCTCGGAGGGTAATCAACAGACTACCCCGGCACCGCACCAATGGGATGGCCGTCATGAGGCAGATCAGAGCCCTGCGAGAGCACTGCCTGCACACCTTATGATGGACTTGCAGCTAGAGCTGCAGGCCTGGCTGCAGGCTATTTACCTTCGGTGTCCAGAATCAGGACCTTCTTCCTGGTGGGGATAGGGCGGGGATGGGGTTGGAAGGATGGGCGTGTTAGGCTCGCGGGTCATAAGGGTCCCGGATGATCTCCTTTGCTGATATGCTTGGCTCCACGACAGCCGGTTTTTCTCTGGGCGTTCAAATTTAGTTGCAGTGAAACGGCCAAGAGCGGCGGTCTCCTGCAGGCCCCGGGGCAGTCGTTCAAGACGTCGGAGACGTTGAACTTGATGTCTTGGAAGAAAAATAGTGTGCAAAAACCAAAGGAAGCTCCGCGAGCCTCATCTTCATGGCGGCCTGATGGATTTCTCTCTCACAATGCGCCGACCTCCACGTTCTTTCGGTTCATAGGTTCATATCAAACTGACGAATGGAAGTCGGCCGTGATGACACCCCTGGTCCGTCAAGGCGGTCTGCTTATGCCCCAGGCGGCGTAAAGAGGCGCCGTTTGTGCGGGAAAAAGAGGACGAGAGACGCCGCTAAAAACGCCAGCGAGGCCACAGCCAGCGCCACCATCCGACGATGTCTTGTTTGTCAAAGGAACCAGGGTCGCCTCGAATCAGAAATGACGGGGTGGGCTGCACAGCATAGCATCTGTTGGCCGCAACCTTGGCTCGCCTCGTCGTCGCGCATCGGGGATGTGGCCTAGAGTCGTTGGACAGGAGATTTGGCATGCAGCCATAGGGTTTGAAAGGAAGTGAGATTGATGTTGGGGGCGAAGCCATCCACGATCGTGATAATACGGCCCACGAAAACACGCCGTGAACGCAAATGTTGCTCGCTTCGCTGCCGTGTCTGCGAAGCTGGATACTCATGACGGCGGGCTGTGCTAGAGGTGTGGAGTTGGATGTGTTGGCATCACATTGGGACAGATTTGCAGTCGCTCAACGCCCACCTGTTGCCGCTTTGATCCAGGTCCAAGGTGCCTCGTCTGTGTGACCCGCGTGAGCTTCAATCACCATCAACCACCACAGCGCGTCCTCAGCAATGGGCCCACCATGGTTGTGGACAATACTTGCTGGCAATAGGAACTGTGGAGACCCGGCCGTGCAGACTATCTCTGGGCGTTGACTATTCTGGTTGGCCGATTATGATCAACGGGCGAAGAGCCCCTCAGGGCTGACGGGCTAGCATGGGTGCAGCATCAGTATGTGAGGCCATAAGTATGCTGTTCGCGGTGGCGGAGAGCACTGCTCGCACAGAATGCCGGGTTTGGGTCTGTTGCAGGATTCAGAGCTGAAAGGGTGGGAGGGGTAGCTTATCTCCACAAAGCTGCACCTGACCGGAAGCTGATGCCGATCACAGGCTCCTTCGGAGAATGCCTCGCTTGTTGCTCAATGCTGGTGGGAGAAGTATGTTGCAATCGGTGTTGAGGCAGCAGAAAGTGTCTGGGCAGGACATCTGGTTTGACTCGGGCCAAAGGCGGTACCAGCGCAAGGCATACTGCGGCTTGTCATAACCTACCACGGGCCATGCGCTTCAGATTGTCAGGAAAACAATAATGATGAGTGAAGTAACACGGATGAAGGAATTCAGAGCAAACATGGGAGAAGACAGGAAAATGCTATTGAAGAAGCCACTGCAGAGATATGCAGTCGCATGCCTCATCTGACGTCTGACGGCAAGAGAAGCCCAGGGAGGCAGGCAGGTATGATTGATACCTCCAAATGAGTCCTCCTGCCCCTTCAGTAGATGACAACCAAAAGTACAGCTTCCTGCCTTGCCATACCGACCTAGAGGATGGTGTCTCAGTCCCAGCACTCAAGCTTGCCTTGACAGACTCCTTTTACACCTTTAAGTTTTGTAATCTGAAACAACAGATCACATAGAAACCTCTCAGGCAGAAGCTATGGAGGCATGAAGTATACACAAACTTGTATCCAGAACAGAGCTGCCTACGGCCGTGATGATATGGAGGACTTACCTAAGCCATCTCCCCTGTTCTCCATACCTACTGTCATGTTATGTAATGCATTCGGAGACCCACCACATCAACGTCTCCCGGCAGAACATCGGTAGACGAAGCTCTGCCAGCTCTGTCCCCATAGCCCCTCCCATTGGTCACTTTCCTCCATGGTAACCTGCCTGTCCAAGCTGCAGCTTCTTCTGCCTTCCCTTGCAGCCTCGCGATCCTTGGTAGGAAAACAACCACCTGTTGAAGCCTCGTCGAGCTTCTTTCAACCTACCACGACCTCGGCCCCCCCTTTCCATTCCCAACTCCTCTCAACGCAGAGAGAAGGTGGCTAAATTTCATTCATCGACCTGTCCGCCCCCTTTTCTTTGTTCGAAGACCCAATTCTGCGCCAGCTGAATCGGGCTTTCATCAACACCGCGGGGTGCTGCCCGAGACGCGACAAACACGAACAATCTTTCTCTTCACCGTCTCCATCTCCCCTTAGGCTCAACGCAGTCGCGACCCTCATGACGGCTCCTTCCAATAAGTAGCGCGAAGAAATGGCAGCAGCTGCTGTAGACACTGGAAGGATAGCTGGCCACCTGGGCCTTGCTGAATCCGCTGTGAACACCATCACCACCGATCCAACGCCGGAGCTCGTCGCATCCTTCCTTCAAGCCTTGGTTGCCAAGGCGGATGAGTTTGATGAAGTATACAATGCCAAGCTCATGCTCGAGGTCGAGTTGGAGAGCGCACACCGCAATGCCGAAGAGAGATGCCGAAACGCCAAAGCGACCGCCGACAAAGCGCTAAAGGACGTCGAGGAGATACGCCAGAAACTCCACGAAGAAGGTGCGCGTCTATTGTTTTCAGTCCGCTGGCGGCTGCACCATCGCACAAACTAACCTTGTGCTCCCCAGAGACGAAACGCCAAAATGTCGAAAACGAGCTGCAATCCCTCAAGTCAAGGGGATCCGACCACGACTCCGAGATCACGACCTTGCGCGATCGCATCGAATCCCTGCAGTCTTCAAACAGGGCTAACATGGCACTCCTAGAATCACGCAATGCGCGCGATTCTGAGCTGTCCGACGAGCTCGCCAAGCAGCACCAGAAGAACGTTCAGCTCAACAAGGAAATCACATCCCTCCAGACTTCGCTCCAAGCCGCTCAGGCAGCCGCCAGCAGCGCCAAGTACCGCGAGGACTCTGTTCAGCAACAACTCGATCTCGCCCGGCGCAACGGCGAGTGGTTTGAAAATGAACTCAAGACGAAGAGCGAGGAGGCTTTGAAGTACCGCAAGGAAAAGGGAGCGCGCATCGCTGAACTGCAGCGTCAGAACGAAGATGCCAAGTCCGAGACCGAAGCCCTCAAACGAAGCGAACAGCAACTGCGTGATCGTCTTGATGCGGCGCGGGCCAAGGCCGAAGAGGCCCTCACCAAGCTGCAGCAACAACAGGAAGCTTTCGCGCGCACTGAAGAGAGCTACAAGCATGAGCTGGAGAGCAAACAACGCCTCGTCGATATGGCCAACCAGCTGACGAACAACCACAAGACGCGCGTTCAGCAACTCGAGGGCGAGCGCGAAAGCCTCAATCAGAAGCACGTCAATGATATCAAGCGCCTTCAGCAGCAGCTCGAGCAGGAGAAGGAGAACTGTCGTATCCTAGAAGAACGCGTTGGTCAACTCGAGGGAGAGATTGACGAACTACAGGTGCGCATGGAACAAGCGCCTCAGCCTGCGTCAGCTCCCTCCGCCCCTTCCACTCCACGCCCCAACGGTTCACTCGCTGTCCGAGCCGCGTCGCCTTTCGCGACCCCGGGCTCTGTCCGCAGCAGGACTGCCATCACGGCCACTCAGGCGATCGAGGAGCTGTACAAGGTGAAGGGACAGCTCGCCGGCGAGAAACGACGGAACCAGCAATTGGCAGAAGAACTCGACAACATGATTTCGGTTCTAGAAGCCAAGACACCCGAAATCGAGGAACTTCAAGCCGAAACCGATGCTTTGAGGGCTGAGATCACCAAGATGTCACAGCTGTCAGAACAGAGCTACGAGGAGCGCGATGCCGCCAAGAAGTCAGCTCGCAAGGCTGAGAGCGCCCTCTCTACCACAAGGCGGAGGCCCAGATCCTCCGCAACCAGCTCCGCGACCTCAGCACCCAGATCCAAATGCTTGTGTTCAACATGCACGCCCGCGAGAAGGGTCTTGAGCAGCTTACCCGAGAGGAAACCCTCAGGCTCGAACAGCTGTCTCGAGGTGAGGTCACCGAGAACGCGCTGTCTGATATGTCCGATACCAATCAATTCATCACCCAAAAGTTTGTTGTATTCAGGGACATTCAGGAGCTGCAGGAGAAGAACCAGGAACTACTTCGGGTCACCCGAGACCTTGCCGACAAGATGGAAAATGAAGAAGCTCGTGCGGCAAAGGACCAGGCGGCCCACGACAGCAAACTTGTGGACGAACTCAAGACGCAGCTCGCCAATCTCGTAGATGAACGCCAATCCCTGCGCACAACGACAGAAAGTTTCAAGACCGAGCGCGATATGTTCCGTCGCTTGTTGCAACAGAAGAACGTTTCCGGCGAGCTGGATTCGATTCTTGGCAGCCCCATCAACGATGGACAGCGTCACCCTCTTGTTAGTATCGAGGATGAGCAGGGTGATAGTGTGTCACCTCAGGTGGCATTGCGAGACCTTCAGGCTCAGTTTGACTCGTACCGCGATGATGCTGAGGCTGTCAGACAGTCTCTTCGGGACCAGGTTGACAAGGTGTCTGGGGAGAAGAACGCTCTGCAGGCAGAGGTAGCCAAGATTTCCAGTCAGCTCACCCTGGCTACCGAGAGATACGAGATGCTGCATTCCAACTTTGTGGCACTCCAGACCGATAACAAAGAACTGCAGAAGCGTTCCCAGGTGCTTTCCGAAGGCGCTGCCAAGCAGGACATTCGCACACAGCAGGTTGCGGAGGAACTTATCGAGGCGCGTGGTCTCGTCGAAAGCATGCGCAATGAAACGGCGAACCTCAAGGCAGAAAAGAAACTGTGGAAGGATATTCAGGACCGACTCAACCAGGACAACGAAAGCCTCGTGCAGGAAAAGGCCCGACTCAATGGTCTCCTTGCCACGCACCAATCTCTTCAGAACGAACGCGACATCAGCGAATCCGAAGCACGCCGCAAGTCTCAGTCCAGGATTGAGAGCCTGGAGTCCGAGCTCTCTGATACGAAGCGGAAGCTGTCCGAAGAGGTTGAAGAGGGAAAGAAGCTGCAGCTGAGGAAGGAGTTTGATGCTAGGGAGGCACAAAAGCGAATCGATGAGCTCTCTGGCAACCTGAGCCAAATTCGCGAAGAGCACGTCGCCGTAAAGACGAGCCGCGATCATCTACAGGCCCGAGTGGACGAATTGACGATCGAGCTTCGTAGCGCTGAGGAGCGGTACGGTCGTCTGCAACCTCGTCCGACACCCCGACCCGGCAGTTTCGCCGCCGAGACGACGCAACCCGACCACGACAACGAGAGTGAAGTCCGTGAGCTCATCAACGAAGTCGCCGATCTCAAGCGCGACCTCGAGCTTGCCCGTGCTCACTTGGAGAATGCAAAGGAGCAGGCTGAGCAATACAAGAACCTCAGCGAAGAGAACGAGAAGGCGTTGTCCGAGTTCACTGATTCGCAGGAGCAGTTCCAGCACGAGATCGAGACGACTCTACAGGCTAAGGACGCGAAGATCAAGGAACTTGAGCAGCGTGTTGAAGATGTGTCTGCTGAGCTGGCCAACTCTAACAAGGAGCTCTCGGCTCTCAGAGACGCACAAGGCGAGGTGGCTCGCAAGTTCGAGGACGAGAAGAAGATTCTCGAGGAAGAACTCGAGAGGCTCAAGGCGACCGCTGAGCGCCATTCGGAAGCTGCCAAGCATCATCGAGACGACATGCGTCTTCAGCAAGAAATTACGACCGGAATTCAGAGAGACTATGAGCATGAGCTGATGAAGCATGCCGAGGCCGCGCAGCAAGCGCAGCAGCTGCGCGCCGAGTACAACCAGCTCAAGAGTCAAACAGCAACTCTGAGGGCCGAAGCCGAATCGGCCAAGGTCACCCTTGCGCAGTCTCAAGGCTCATGGGAAGACAGGCGACAGCACCTAGAGCAGGAGATTGCCGAACTCAAGGCTCGTCGTGATGACGCCAACGCGCAGAATAAGCTCCTACATCAACAGCTTGAGAGTGTTACTGCACAGTTTTCCGCGCTCAAGCAGAACCGGACATCGACCATCGACAATGCGGACTCTCCCGAGGGAGGAGGGTCTTCCGACAACGCCATCGACGGCCTGCGTGAACTCAACTCGTACCTGCAGCGCGAGAAGGACATTCTCGAAGTCCAGTACGACCTCAAGGTGCAAGAGTCGAAGAGGCTGCAGCAGCAGCTCACCTACTCACAGTCACAATTGGAAGAGACACGTCTCAAGCTCGACCAGGAACGCCGAACCGCAGCCGAGAGTGGCCAGAGTTCCCTCGCTCACAAAGACCTTATGGAGAAGATCAACGAGCTCAACCTTTACCGCGAAAGCAGTGCCACTCTACGCAATGAGCTCACGCAGTCCAGAGCCCAGATTGCCGAGAAGAACGCCAAGATTGAGGAGCTTGAAGGCAAGGTCCAACCGTTGGAGGCCAAGATTGAGGAGATTGAAACGCAGAAGGGCTTCCTCGAGGAAGAGATCAAGCAGATCCAGGAGGACCGCGACCGTTGGCAAAAGCGCACCGAGGGCATGTTCACCAAATACGGCCGTGTCGACCCCGCCGAGATGGATCAGCTCAAGCAGACGGTCACCGACCTTGAGGCCGAACGCGATGCTCTCAAGGAGGCCGAAGCTCCCCTGCGGTCACAGCTGGATGAGATCCAAAAGGCTCTGGATGGAGAGCGGAGCAACTGGCAGAACACACGCCAGAAACTCACGGAGCAGTTCAAGGAGCGATCAAAGAAGCTCTCGGGTGACAAGAATGAGGCGATCGCAGAGAGGAACAACATCCAGGCTCAACTGGATGCTGTCAAGTCCGAACTTGAGCAGGTCAAGAATGAGCTGGGCGCTTCGAGCACACAGGATGAGCAGGTGCGACAGCTCCAGGAACAGCTGAACGCAGCGAACAACGAAGTGCAACGGATCCAGCAAGAGCTCGAGGCTTCATCGTCGCAGAAGTCTCAGTACGAACAACAGATTTCGTCGTTCCAGCAACAAGTTCAGCGTCTACAGCTGGAGGCCCAGGCGAGCCAATCGACACCCACTCAGCCGTCAGCAGCGAACACCGACCCGTCGGGCTCCGCTTCCGCAGATGTGGTTGCGCAGTTGGAGCAGAACCTGGCGAATCTGCGCAATGAGCTCGAAAACATGACAGCGCAGAAGCAATCTGCCACACAAGAGCTCGAGAGCCTGCGTTCCGAGTTGCAGAGTGCCGTCTCGGCCAGAGACGAGGCGCAGAAGAAGGCCAGCGAGCTGGCTCAGCGACAAAGCGAAACCGCCGATGCATCGCAAGCGTCTGTCGAGTCTGGCGGTGTTACCGCCCAGACTGTGCACAACACCCTGTCAGATGAGGAGCGCAAGGCACTAGAGGACAAGATCGTTGCGGCTGAAGCCAAGGCTTCTGAATATGAGACTAAGGCATCCGAGTGCGAAGCCAAGATGAAGGCCATCGAGGAAAGTCAGAATCAAACGCTTAAGGAGCGATCCGACAAGATGAAAAACGCTCTGAATGATAGGCTGCGCCAAGACAGGCAGAAATTGGAGCAGGAATTCCAGACCAGAGTCGACCAGGAGAAGATTATCTGGCAGGCAGAACACCCTGCCGCTGCGCCCTCCCAGGAACAGCCTATCGCCTCGACACCGGTCAAGAAACAAGAGCCCGAGCCGCCATCAAACACACCGACCGCAAACGCTCCACTTTCTGATGGCGAGGTACGGAAACTTCTCGCAACCAACCCCACTGCTAAGAGCATCTTTACCGCAAACCTTAAGAAGAAGCTTGAGGAGCACTCGGCCAAAGCAGAGACTACGCTCAAGGCGGAATACGAGTCGAAGATTTCAACAGCGAGGGAGGAAGGCCAGGCACTCGCGCAGAAGAAGTCAGCCCTGCAGATCAACATGAGAGACAACCAGGTCAGGGCAGCAAACGCTAAACTGGAGGTTGTTTCCACAGCCGCGGCCAACACACCCGCCAGGCCAGTTGGCGAGGTCTGGGAAGAGGCAAAGGTGGCTAAGCCCGCGCCTGCGCCTGCCGCTCAGCCAACTCCTGCGCGTGCTCCGGCTAATGCCCAGATCAACAACACGCCTCGCGTTGCTTCTGGATCGCCTGCGCCTGCGCCGGCGACTGCTCCGACAAATAATTCTGGTAAGTCCAAGTCATCACAACTGAGCAGTGCATCTACTTACTCTGCTATAGCCACTCCGAGCAAGCCACCGCCGGCACAGGTGACAGCGACTGGACAGAAGCCGGTGACGGCAGCTGCCAGCGGCATTCCTCAGCCACCAGGCCAGAAGGCCGCAGTCGCCACCACTGGCGAAGCGCCGACAACCACACCAGCCGCGGCAAATCCTTTTGCTGCCAGCGGAACGCCTCCAGTCTGCCCGCGAACCCGTTCGCCAATGCTGCTACAGCAAACGCAACAGCGACGACAACAACAGGGCAGGCTCAGCCAAATCAACCTACGGTCAGAAGTGGAATCCCAGTCCCCGGTCGCGGCGGTGCTGCCGGACGAGGAGGCCGTGGCACGTATCAAACACCCGGCCAACGTGTGTCGACTGGTGGTCCGAACGAGCGAGGGGGATTTTCCGGCCGAGGTCGCGGCCGCGGCGGACACCAGCAGGGAGGCGCCTTGAACCCGGGCGCCAACGACTTCCAGCCAGGGACCAAACGTCCCAGGGGCGACGGGGAGGCTGGTGGAGGTGCGAAGAGGGCACGCGGCAGCCATTGAGATGCGTGCCACGTCTGAGACGGGAGATGCAGTGGATAGCATGTGGACATTCCGGCCACGTCACTGGACTTTTCTCTTTCTTTTGTACTAATACACCCTTGCTGCTTGGACCTGGGATGACAGTCTGGTGGTCACGGACAGGGATGGGAGGGGCAAAAAAGCACAAGTGGGATGTTACCCACGTGTACAACTAGCATGCACACATTATTGACGAAACGGAGATTTTTCTTGTGTCTGTAGACTGTTGTTCGTTCTTGTGTGCTCCACGAAAGTTTCTCGAGGCGTGATCTTTCTGTTATTGCAACGCCTAAAGTACTCGATTGCAAGGCTGCGTGCTACCCTGGCATTATTTGCGGTTCTGTGTTTATCTGAATTTGCACATGTCAACAATGGCTTGTCATTTTGCCATCTGCCATGCCCGGTTGCTCACTGATAGTCACGTTGTCACCAGCGCTCATTGTAGGGTCGAAACAGCACATGAACTACGTTTGAAGGCCCGAGGAGGGTGACGGTCTGACGTATCGAGGATTGTGCTGTTATTCTGGGTCTATCTGTGTATGTGCTTCACCGCTTGCATGACTTGTCGCACACTTTGGTAAGGTACAAGGTGATCATGTTGCACAAGCACCTACGGCGATCACGACGATCACGCTTGGACGGCACCCGAATGAAGGGAACGTCGGACCAAGTCTCTTCCCTACAATCTGACTTTGTCCTTCGGACCTCCTGTAGAGAGTCGTCACCGCGCAGGGACCCGGAAGGGGGCCGAGTGCTGACGAGAACCCGGGCCGGTGCATGTGTAGTGCGAGTGTGGGGTCGAAGATGTACATGATTTTGGCGCGCGGCGCAACCTCCAAAGGTAAAGCGGGGTGGGCCATGACATGCCACGGGAAGGAGTCACACTTTCCTGATTCATCACCAGGGCGAACACAGAGTATATAAGATGGGAGGAACATCTAAATTGACTCAAAAAAAGAGGCCAGAATGGAATACTCCTTCACGCAAGACATGATACCGGAATTTCCCTCTTTTGTCCTCGTATAACCAGTACAGCCAGCATAGCATCATACACCACAGAAATGAGCGCAGACAAGACCGTCATGCCGGACGAGGTGGCGAGGAGCTGGTACCGCGACGGGTACATGGTATCGACGAACCGGAGCCTCGTCCAGCTCGACGCCCTCAACGCGGCTCTCGACTCGGACGTCTTGTGGTGGTCGCAGGCCCTGCCGGAGGAGGCCCTCAGGAAGATGGTCAACCACTCGCTCTGCATCGCCGTGTACGCGCTACCAGACTCCACATCTGCGATTGCCGGTATGTACACACCCTTTCTGTGCTTGCCTTGTCCCGTCGCTTTCTGCCTGGCATGATGCCTCCCCCAGCTTCCATGCTCCCCATCCGCTTAATTTCGTCCGCAGGCAAGTCGACCCCACAGATGGTTGGCTTTGGCCGTCTTGTGACCGACTACGTCAGCGTCGGCTACCTGACCGATGTGTACGTCCTGCCCGCGCACCAAGGCAAGCGGCTCGGCCATTGGATGATGGAGTGTCTACACGAGGAGCTGCAGGCGTGGCCGGAGCTGCGGCGCGTGCTGCTTATATCGTCGTCGCTGCAGGGCAACAGGATGTACGAAAAGACGCTGGGCGCGCGCGAGTGGAGCGAGTCGACCAATGGGCTGTTCATCATGCAGGCGACGGGCGACGGCGTCCGGGCGAAGCCGCAATGAGAAAGGGAGGATATGTAGGAGCGACAAGGCGGTAGCGAGCGCAGATGCATCTCATCTTGTGAATGAAATGGGGTTCCGGTTTTCAGCTCTTGATCGTCGTCTTGCCGTAGGCGCCACCGGCCACCTTTCTCATCTCGAGGGCGCGCTTGTAAGGGGGTGCCGTTGGGGGCTGGACGGGGTCGAGGGAGACGTGGTCTTCGGGCAGCTGGTACGAGGCGTCCGAGTCGAAGGCTGAGAGGTCGCCGCAGGCAATAAAGGGCGCGATCCATCGAATGTTCTTGTCCATGTCGGACGATTCGTCAACATCGTCGTAGGCCTCGACTTCCATGACGTCCGAGCCGAGCCTGGCCGACGTCGCCGTCGGCACGCCGTCCCAGACACCCGTGGAGGGGTTCTGGTGCAAGGCGTCGGCGACGACGGGCAGCTGGCCCTTGCGCTCCTCGACCATGGCGGGCACGTGGTGGCCGACGCCGAGGGGGTTCTCGAGGCTCGCCTTGAAGCCGGGCGGCGGCTGGAAGTTGATACAGACGATAAAGGCCTCGACGCTGCTGGCGCGTGAGGAGCGGGGCTTGGCGACAATGACCTTTTCGAAGAAGACCTTGAGCTGAGCGTAGAGGACATCGACGTTGCGTCCGCGGAAAATCTTGGCGACGAACTTGCCGCCGGGCTTGAGGACGCAGAGGGCGAGGTTCAGGGCGGCGAAGAGGAGCTGAGACTGAACGTAGATGTCGAGGTCATGGAGACCCGTGACGTCGGGGGCACCGTCGCTGATGACGAGGTCGACAGGGTGCGCTGCATTCTTGCTCTGGCTCGTGGCATCGTAGTCTGGGTCCAGAGCCTTGAGGAGGAGCGGGACGGTGGCGGGGTGGGTAATGTCGGCGCGCAGGGTCACGACGCCGGGGAGGGGGGAGATGGGCTGGAGATCGATCGACACAATCTTGACGTCGTCCCTGGGGCTCGTGGCACTGGCTGGCGTCGTCATGGGCTGGTCGGTATCGGATGCGCCGGAGGGGAAGATCTTGAGCATCTGCTGGCGAAAGCTGGCCTCGCGGTCCTGCCACGCGGTGCGGCCAAACTTCTCGCCCTTGATGAGGACGCGGGAGAGGACCTGGGACCAACTGCCGGGGGCGGCGCAGAGGTCGACCACACGGGTCACACCATGGAAGAGATCGAATTCTGCAAATCATTCGTTAATGATCTCACTTCATTTGGGACAAGATTGCGGGCTTGTCTCACCCTCGTCAAGCTGTAGCAGCTTGAAGGCACTTCTCGCTCGCCAGCCCTGCTCCTTGGCCAGCCGGTAGTAGGCATCACGCTTGTCCTTGGACGTCTTTCCCATGATGCTCGTATGGGAAAAGGTTGGTATGTGGAGGGGCGAGAGGGGCAAGGGGTGTGGTGTGGTTTGTGTTGTGAGCTCTTGGTGCCGCAGGCTGGGTGAAGCTCAGCAAAAGACTCACGCGAGAATTTTTGGTGGAGGGGCAGAATGGGGAGGGGCAGAGGGCGGGGCGCGCTCGGTGGAGGCCCTGAACTGGCTACGACGAGGCCTGAAGGCGCTGGAACGAGGGGCAGCAGTAAGGCTGATTTAAGGTGTGGTCGGTGCGATCCGGGGATTGCTCGGAGGAAAGAAGGGCCTTGAACTTTTTTTTTCTGGCTCTGGCAGGTCGCAGCCAGCTTCACTTTCCTGTGCCGTGCTGAACCCCCCCTCCCCCCTCCCCCACCAATACCGGATCGTTCACCCTCACACCGGCCATTCCACTCGTCATGGCGCCCATACAAAAGAACAAGCGCAAGGCCGCACCAAAGACTGGCCCTGTCGATGCCCCGCCGAAGCGCCAGAAGCTCGCCGTCCCCAAGGCTCTGGCCCTCCCCAAGAAACGCAAGGCTGTCGCCGCCGAGAAGCTGCCATGGAAGAAGATTGACGTCCCCGAGATGTTCGACGATGCCGAGGGCTTCTACGCTCTCGAGGCAATTGAGGGTATCGATGTCGTCAGGAATGGCGACAAGATTGAGTTTGTAGGTTGCCTTTTTCCATTTGCCTTTTCTCCCTCCCATTTCGTACGACCCTGCTTCCTGCGCATATGCTCACATGCCGCAGCACGCCGTCGAAGAGGACCTCCAGAAGCAAGCCGAAGACGCTGCCAAGGCGAACAAGGACGATGACGAGTTCCAAGGCTTCAGCGATGCCGAGGCCCCTCCCGACACGACACCCGCGGTCGACACGAAGCCCGCGAAGCTTACCAAGGGCGCAAAGAAGGTGGCCGGCCTGACCGACGCGACAAACATGACCGACGTCGACCCTCGCGAGGAGGCGGCCAAGGCGGCCGAGAATGGCGACACCGCTGACGAGAAGCCAAAGAACAAGAAGGACAAGAGGCGGGAGAAGCAGGAGAAGAAGAAGGAGAAGCTGGAACAGAAGATCAAGGCCCAGCCCGTCAAGAAAGACGCCGCCCTGGAGAGCAACGTCTTCTCGACTCTCGAAGAGGCGGAAGACGACACAGAGGACCTCGACATGTCGGAATGGATGGGCCTTAACCTCTCGCCTGCCACCATCGCCACGATACGTCGCCTCAAGTTCACGAAGCCGACCACCATTCAGTGTGCCGCCATTCCCCATATCCAAGCGGGACACGATGTCATCGGCAAGGCTTCGACAGGTTCCGGAAAAACCCTGGCCTTCGGTATCCCCATTGTCGACAAGTGGCTCGAGAAGAATGGCGAGGAGCAGGACTCGGCCATGGAGACGGACGATGCGCCAGAGGCCAAGGCCCCGCTTGCCCTTATCATCTCGCCCACGCGCGAGTTGGCGCACCAGATCATGAACCACATCAAGGAGCTCTGTGCCGGTTTGTCCAAGCAGCCTTATGTTTGCTCCGTCACCGGTGGTCTTTCCGTCTACAAACAGCAGCGCCAGCTGGCCAAGGCTGATATTGTCGTCGGTACACCTGGTCGCCTGTGGGAGGTCTTGAGCACGAACACGACCGTCATGGAGTCATTCAAGAAGATCCAGTACCTCGTCGTCGATGAGGCGGATCGAATCCTCAGCGAAGGCCATTTCAAGGAAGCCGAGGAGATCTTCAAGGCTCTCGACCGCAACGTTACAGAGGAGGACGACGAGGACGAGCAGACGCTGTCACCACGCCAGACGCTCGTTTTCTCAGCCACATTTCACAAGGGCCTGCAGCAGAAGCTCGCCGGCAAGGGCAAGTTCGGCCTCATGTCGGAAGAGGAGTCAATGGAGTATCTCTTGAAGCGACTCAACTTCCGAGAGGAGAAGCCCGAATTTGTCGATGTCAACCCCGTGTCGCAGATGGCCGAGGGCTTGAAGGAAGGCATGATTGAGTGTGGCGCCATGGAAAAGGTAAGTTATGCCCGTCGTGTTTCTGAAGCATTTTGCTGACCTCTGCAGGATCTCTATCTATATGCGCTGATCCTCCTCAACCCGAACCGCCGATCCCTCGTCTTCACCAACTCCATCAGTACCGTCCGCCGCCTGACACCCATGCTGGCGAACCTGAACCTCAACGCCCTGCCCCTCCACTCTCAGATGCCGCAGAAGGCGCGACTCCGCTCCGTTGAGCGTTTCACCTCCACCAAGCCCGGCACGGCGTCCATTCTCATCGCCACCGACGTTGCCGCCCGCGGTCTCGACATTCCCGGCATCGACCAGGTCATCCACTACCACGTGCCCCGCGCCGCCGACATGTACGTCCACCGCTCCGGCCGTACCGCCCGTGCCGCCACCTCGGGCCTCAGCATCCTCCTCTGCGCCCCCGAAGAGGTGACGCCGACGCGCCGCCTCGCTGCCAAGGTCCACCACGAGCAGGCCGGCAAGAACAAGTACCTCATCCGCACCGTCGACATTGACCGCAAGCTCGCCTCGCGCCTCAAGCCGCGCGTCGATCTCGCCAAGAAGCTCGCCGATGCCGTGCTAGCCAAGGAAAAAGGCGGCAAGGATGATGACTGGGTCAAGAAGGCGGCCGACGAGCTCGGCGTCGAGTACGACTCGGAGGAGCTCGAGAAGAGCGGCCAGTGGGGCGGCCGCGGCAGCCAGCGCAAGAAGAAGCAGGAGGCCGCGCGCGGCGTCAGCAAGGCCGAGATGGGCGTCATGAGGGCGCAGCTGCGGGAGCTGCTGTCTAAGAGGGTCAACGCTGGCGTCAGCGAGCGGTACATCACCGGTGGCAAGATTGATGTCGAGGAGCTGCTGAGGGGCGCCAAGGGCGATTTCCTCGGTCATGTGGATGGACTTGATATTTAGAAGGATTGCTGATACCAAGAAAGATGTTCCAGATTTTGATTCTGTGTCCGCACTACATGTCGGATCCTTGGACTACACATCTTCCATCGCCTGTTTTGATTGCCTGCATCATCTAGATGCGCCTGCATCATCTAGGATGCTACTTCCTCCTGTTGTCCAGTCACCTGGAATTCCATCTGAGATCAGTGCTTCGTAGTCATCATCACCATGATCAAGAATCAGATTCTCACAGATGAAATCAGACTATGAAACGAAGTGCCCGATGTTATTCCACTGATCATAAAAGCACCCTGAGTCAGCTAACCTATCCCCTCACGACTGCTTTCCAACCACAACCAGATCAAAACCATGCGACCGGCGCATCTCAAGCAATCAAACCTCCATACACTCCAGTCCCCTCAGGCACAGACCGGAGCCCCCAACATAGCCGTTATCGGCGACGCAGAGACGTCTAAGAGAGGCGACAGACCAGCCGTCGCCTCCAACAAGACAATCCGCGCCACGAGCTCCCTCTTCTCTCTTTTCAGCGCCTCAATCGTGGCGCGCGCAAACGGGTCCGGCCGAAACGTGACCAGCTCCCGGCGCATCGCCGCAAGCTCGGCTCGCACCGTCTCCTGCGCGGCCGCCGCCCCTGCGGCGTCCCGCGCCTTGGTCTTGGCGGCGCGCTTGAAACGGGCGGCCTCGTGCTTGGCGGCCGCGGCCATCTTCTTCTTGGCGTGCGCGCGGACCTGGGCAATCTCGGCTTCGTGGGCGAGCGAGGCGTTGGCGAGGCGCTGCTCTTGGGCTTGGGCTTGGGCGTCTGAGGCCTGGGCGCCTTTGCGGAGCAGTGTGATCTGGTCTTTGAGGGCGGCGATCTGCTTCTGGAGACGGGCGTTGGCGAGGCACGCGGCGCTCAGGTCCTTGGTTGTTCGCTTGCAACAGAAGGCGGGCCGATCGCAAGCTGAGAAACCTTCTTCGCGAATGTAGGATTCGCCGGCCTGGATGGCTTTCGAAACAGAAGTAGTGGCAGGAACGGGGGCGGAGGCAGGATGGAATAAGGACCGGAGGACGCCGGAAGACAAGGACCGGATGAGAACGACGGCGATAATATGGTAGAAAACGATGCCACAGAAGGCACCCGAGAGGTGGGCGGAGTACGGGGACAGGACGAGGTCGACAAAGTCGGAGAGGAGGATATATGTGGCCGTGGCCAGTGCGATGAGGGCCAGAAGAGGGCCGGCCCAATAGGGACCGTCCTCCCTGGTAGTCCTCAGAAGCTTGTGGGACGTCATAGTCATGGCGGTGTTGTCGTATTGTTGTAGTTGTTGTCGAGGTGGTGATGGTTGTCAGACTGGAAATGAGTCGAAGGACTGCAGGTAGTTGTGAAGATCTGAAACGAGAGGAGAGGCAAGATGGTACAAGCTGGTCTCAATTGCGTTGTTCACAATGCTTATTCTGCGCCTTCTTTTTAGAATAGGACCAGATGAATGCAGCCAATAAATTCGGAGGCCGGCTCAATATTTCAAATGCACATTGTTGCCATTGATCATAGTCTTGTCAATAGAACTTGCAGGGCAGGAGCTTGGGTTTTGGGCGCTTGCCAAGTTGACTGACCTGTAGGAACAATGACCATAGTTTTTGAGGCCCTATTCTTCTGTAGAGAGCTAAATTCTCGAATATCTTGAGGTGGTTCAAGTAAAGGACGCGGAGAGCCCTTCAGCATGACTTCATGGTGCCTCCATGAATATTGCATGGTGCTCGTGTAGCGGGCTTTTGAAGCCCGTCGATGGTATATAAGATACGACTCAATAGTGCTTGAAAAAGATTTTTAGCGCACGGAGGTGTTTTTGAGAAACTAGAAATTTTGTGGCATCAGGATGAAGACAGTGCTGTCTGTTTCTGACGCTTCCGACGAGGTTCTTCGTTGACCGAAACTGACCGAAGCCACGGTGTCGAGAAATCCGTTTGACACTGAAACAAACTAATATGCAAGGCCAGAGTCTGTCAAAGTCCGTACTTTCATGTGACATATACTTTCCGGCCGCATCTGTCTCGGAAATACATGTGAAGGAAGCATACTAGAAGGAGATGGTGCTTCCTATTTGCCAGGGATGAAAGGTTATTGGGGTGGCTGGCCGGCAGATCATCAGATCGCCAAAGCTACAACGTAACTTATAGACCAATTCGTAGAGAAATCCCAAGTTTTCATATTCCTGTGATTATAGGCTTCGACTGTCAAGCAATGATTTGTATCCCTGAGAAGCAAACGTCTACGCTTACTGATTAAATGCACAAACGCATGCAAGGGGGTTTGCTGCTGGACGCCTGCAGTAACCAACCAATAGAAGAGGCTTTCTGATCGTTCATCCACGCAAAGCTACTCAATCTCACTCTGGAGACACTCGTCCAACCTGAATTCAGGCTTGGAATGTCGCCCACAATCGTCTGCGGGGGGAAAGACAAGAACAACGACGCCGGCGTGGCGCCCAAAGTCTAAGCCCCGGGGGAGAATTTTGACTTTGCATCATGATCTCCTCAACACGCCACGCAGTTCGTCATCTAGGCTTCGCACTAGCGTTCCCGGATCCAAGCAGGGTGGGCGAAGTTCTTCCATATTGACGACACTCGCACTCTCGAATAGTGCAACTCCTTCTCCGGTATGGACACTTCGTCTCATACTACCTTATACACGTCAGAGAGTGCTTTACAATGGACGCCGCAGCATTCGCCCTGATGCTTCCCCCCAAGATGCAAGAACGATCGAGGCCAGCATCGCCAGTTTCCCCCACAAAGGCCTTTTTCCCAGTCTACCTAAACCCGCCGTTGTCACCAAGGGCCTCGACGCCCCGAATATTGCCAACACCGACCGAAATCCTTCCTGAAGATCTCGAAGACCTTGGTCTCGCCTCCTGTACAAAACGAGCCATTGCCAAAGAAGTCCTGACGCTCGTCTCGGAGCGAAACAGGGCCAAGCGCGAGAAGAAGTTCCGCTATCAGGAAGAGGAACAGCGGGCCTTTGTCGCTTCTCTGGACTCATGCCGGCAGGCGAGAGAAGACGAGGGAAGGAATCAGAGATTGGGGAGCGAGGAGGCGTGGGAAGATATTGACGAGGCACGGAGGTATGTTGAACGGTTTCTCGACGACAAATGGGAGGCGCAGAGGGCGAACATCCAGATCGACAGCGAGTTCAACATGGACATGGTGGAATTGACTGCCATTGGGGCGATGAAGAGGAAGGAGGGTGTCAAGGCTTGCATGAAGTTGCTGGCGGTGCCTGTCATACACGAAAAGGTTGCTCTGTCGCTCTGGCGGACGCTGGTAGGGCGAGTCTCGCAGTGGGAGGTGGCAGAGGACGCGGAGGAGGAAGGCGATCCGGACGATGAGACAACTCTGAATTTTTTGACTTCGGCTTCGTCTTCCAAGAGATCTCTCGCATCCTCGTCAAAAAATCTGCGGTTCCTCACAGAGCAGAGACGCATGACTGTATCGAATGACAGCGTTTCCAGGGCAGGGATACCGCCATCGCCCAAAAGAGGATTGTCGGGGAAGATGCGGGAGAAGCCGCGTCCATTCATACCAAGAAGGGCTTCGGCAGACAACCTGGGAGTCGGCCTGGCTTCCTCGTTGAAGTTGACGCCGTTCTCGTCAGAAGCACGAGGGATGGAGGCATGTGCGACAATTCGACCACCGAGCAGACCCGGTAGGGCCTCGAGCAGCCTCAATCGGACGATGTCTTCTTTCGGAACCAAGATAGGGCATGGCTATGGCGGCTGGGTACCAGTTGAGGAGCTCAGCCAAGGTTTGTTGAAAACGAGTTCAGGTGACGTCGACAGCACTACCATAACAGGTGAGGAGGACATTGTAGCTATCGCATAACACTGAAGTGATAGAGCGATGCATTCGATCATGAAACAAAAAAGTAAACATCACTTTTCCTGAGTACAACAAGCAGAACGCACCACAGCCAACCTTGTGAAGGGGCCTCTAGCAAAAGTTTTGGGGTGAGCCGGGATCGAACCAGCGACCTTTAGATTGGATTCCTGAAGTGGGCTTCAGTCTAACGCGCTCCCAACTGCGCCATCCCCCCAGTCGATGTCTTGCAGCCTGATCAATGGATTCATGATGCCAACAAGATCCGGCAAGATGAACTGTCGCAAGCCACCTTCTTTTGGCGAGACATTGCCAAGAGCAGCCATCAGCCGCCTGCCCTATCGCTTGTCTCAGTCCCTGCATAAGGCGGCCAGTTGACAGCAGTGGTGTCTCTTGGTTTCGCAGGCGTAGCGTTGATCTCTCCCTCATTCACGTCTGGTGGCAAGTCCAAGATGTATGCTCATTCTTCATTTCGAAAACGCGCGAATCTCCTATCTCATCTCGCCTATCCAGTTCACTTCTACCAAGCCACAGCCAACCTTATCGTGAGGCCAGTACAGTTAGCGCTGGTGATGCGGAAGCCTTCGACCTCGACGACATTCCGTATCGGGACACCGAAACGATTAGGCGCATGTCCAACCGTCTGCTGCCCTATGACAGCGAAATTCAGCACCATGCCTTCAACGTCTTCGCAGCCGGAAGAGGTCGGCACCGACTCTTGCTTGGCAGAGCATTCCGCTTAGCGCCAGTGGGCGTCCTCCTCGTGGTAATTGCCCCTGTACTAGCACGACGCCTTGTGGGGTTTTCGTTGTGAATGGGTGACCACGACGGTCAGTGACGCTGGCGAGCGCCTCTCGTTCTGCCTTGCTCTCACATTCAGAACGGTATATGGGAGGCTCGTGATCCGGCTCTACTAATGCCCAACTGCCTACCTGCATTTCACACTTCTGCCTCCCGACGGGAAATCGTGACACCAAGAAGGGCGTCACGACTGACAGGGCGACGCGGGGTCAATGTCTTCACGGCACAGAGTCTACTCTGCCTAACAGTCCGCCAAGCACGCCCGGTCTTTCAGCTGACAGGGGTCACTTACTCGCTTGTCATGTCAGGACAGGGGCACCTTCAGGGGTTTTTCGCGATCTTCAGACAGACTATCGAAGGGAAGAGACTCTCATTGCCGGGGATTGTGGAGAGTGCGGAAGAACGCCGCCATGCCCATTTGGACCTTGGATGCCTCCAGTGTGAACGCCACCAAGGGCTGTGAGTGACTGAATTTCGACCGCGATCACGTCGCGTTCTCCTTTATTTCTCTCTACATCTTCCTCCTCGCCAAAGGTCCATCATCTTGGGCTTCACTGACGTCGTTTGCGGAAAAGAAGTGCGAGCTGTGATTTTTTCTGGGGCTTGTCTGACGCTGCTCTGCCTCTCTCACACACTGGAGCCACCAGTTCCCGTCACTTGACGATATGGCGCCGTCTTCACTCTCTCTGGTCTTGCTTGCGGCCGCTTATGCAACGGCCAACGACGTTCAGTACATCACAGACTTGAACCTTTACTCTCTGTTGGTGAGTCTACCGACGCCGACTTGGCTGCGGCTCTTCCATATGACTGAATGATGTTCATCGTTTCCCAGGCACCATGCGCGCAGAGTGCGCTATCGCAAAATGTTCAGAACCAAATCTCCTCTTGCGGCGAGGGAGTCACTGAGCTGCAGTCTTGTGTTTGCACCAAAGGCAACAACTATGCCGACATTTCGACCGCCATATCCAGCTCGCTGAGCTACAGCTGTGACTCTACAGCGACGGAAGACTTTACGAGCGCAAACGTTGTCTATTCGGCCTACTGCACACCCGACAAGACGTTTGACCTCCCAACGCCGACGGCAAACATCGTCTCCGAGATGATTACCGACATGCCCTTGTTCTCCAGCCTTGCGCCCTGCGCTCAGTCAGGCCTGTCCATAGCTGTCGGCCGCATGGTACGTCCCAACGCTTCAGCACCCCCTCCGTGAATCCCCATGACTGACACATCCTCCAGTCCGACAAGTGCCCAGAAGCAGAGAACCAGTACGCGCCATGCATCTGCACGCGCAACGAAAACTCGGCCGCCATCAGCGACGTCATCAAGTCCAGCGTCTCCTACAACTGCGAGAACACGCACGACATCACCTCGGCCCAGGCCTTCTTCGCCGCCTACTGTGCCATGAACGAAGGCACGACCGCCCTCCCCGCGCGCTCTGCCCCGCCCGGCGACCTGTCCTAATACATCACCGATCTGGACGCGTGCTCCTCCCTCTATGGATGCGCCCAGTCGG